GTGGCCAAGGGGACCCCAGGAAAACCTTAAAACTGAGGCTATGATGGCGGGATGGAAGGTTAGACAGGCCTCCTGATGCCCCCTCCCTTTTATGGTTTAGACACAACAGACCAGCATTAACGTTAAGCTGGAGACCGTAAGACTGACAGAACGGACTCTGCGGCAGTAAGATACAAGGTCTTCCAAGATACTACAAAGATACCTTTTTTTTTTTTTTTCAAATCCACCTTTTATTTTTTCTTTAAAAAAAAAAAAGAAAAATGGAACCAAGCAAACAGCAAAACCGAGGCGGCGTCTGCGGTCCCGGGCAGCGCTGCATGCATGGCAGGGCAGGCTGGGCTCCGGGGCGCCCGTCTGCGGAGCTCGGGCGCGGCGGGGCCGGCAGGCTGCAACAAAGTGCATCGGGGCCGCCTCCCGCCTCCCTCACCCGCCCGGGGCCAAGTCGAGCAGCTGCGGGCGGCGGACACGCTGCGCCCGGGCCCTGCGGTCCTCCCGCCGGCCCTGCAGGGGCCCCTGAGGTCCTGGGGCGCGGTCAGCCCGGGGGCGCGGCGGTCGCCTCTCCGGGGGGAGGGCCTGGCGCGGGCACCTGGACACGGACTGCAGGTGGCCACCCTCACTGCTGCTTGCAGGCCGACAGCCGGCGGATCTTGCTGCTGGCCGACCAGGCCTTGCGGGCGGGGTCGGGGGCCCTGCCCTCCGCCTTGGATTTGGGGCTCAGCTGCGCCGTCTCCGTGCGGTTCATGCACACGGCTCTGGGCAGGCCCCGGCTCTGTCCGCTCTGACCGGCCTCCTCTTCTGGGACCTGTCCGGGCACCTCCGGGCACCGTGAAGTCCTGAGTGTAGATGGTGTCGTCCTCGATATCAAAGAGGTCCTCGTCCTCGTCGGCTCCGTGCAGGTCTTCCAGGTACGGCACCACGGTCATGCTGCGCCACCGGTCCTTGGTGTCCGGGCTCGGCGGGGTGGGCACTGGCGCCTCAGCGGGTGGGTGTTTCTTCCGGAACCAGCTGTGCTGCCGGATCTGCCGTAGGGAGAACCTCATACTCAAGCATCCCTTTCAGCAGGTCGGAGAGTGGGGGGCCACAGTCGCCTGGGATCGCCTAGTTCCCCTTCCCGATGTTCTCAAGCAACTTGTATAGGCTGTCCCCTTCGAAGGGGTACAGGCCTGTGGTGATGTTGTAGAGGGTGACCCCGGCCGACCAGATGTCCACCTTGAAGCCAGAGAAGGTGTCCAGTATCTTTGTCCAGAAGGTATTGATCGACTTATGACCTATGCAACTTACGACCATTCGACTTTACGACCACAATCGCTAGCCACGGCTGCTCCGCGTCTGGCAGCGCAAACGTTGCCCAGCTGGGCGTACGACAGTGCGGACCAGCTTCCGGCAGCACTACCATCTCCGTGTGCACCATTTCAACTGTACATATAGCCTACTCAACTTACAACCAAATCGTGTTACGACCGGTCTGCGGTCCCGACCGTGGTCGTAAGTTGAGCACTAGCTGTACCAAATTAGAAACAGGACCTACAGCCGTGCAGGGGGAGGGTGCAGTCGCAAACCTGCACTTACAGAGTAAAGGACCTTCTCACTGCCGACGCGTGTTCTCCTCCAGCAGCTAAACAAGCGCTGGCCTCGAGATGCGCAATGTTAAACAACTGCAGCTCCACAGCCACCAAGTGAGCCCAGGCCTGCCCCACCAGCCATAACCACAGCTTTCACTGGACACAGACTGTAACTTTCTCCTGGCAAGAGACCACTGACCTTGGACTAGTTCTGGTGAGTCTACAGAGGCTGCACATCTGCATGCATTCCGGTCCTGAAAAGACCTCTTGAGGTACAGGGCCTAGTAATTATTTATTTATTTTTTTTACTTTATTTTTTAAATAATTAATTTTTTTTTGAGATGGAGTCTTGCTCTGTTGTCCAGGCTGGAGTGTAATGGCGCGATCTCGACTCATTGCAACCTCTGCCTCCCAGGTTCAACCGATTCTCCCATCTCAGCCTCCTGAGTAGCAAGGACTACAGACATGCGTGACCATGCCAGGCTACTTTTTGTGTTTTTAGTAGAGATGGGGTTTCTCCATGCTGGCCAGGCTAAGCTCGAACTCCTGACCTCAGGTGATCTGCCACCTTGACCTCCCAAAGTGCTGGGATTACAGTCGTAATATATTCAACTGTTGAGTCTCCCCGCTCCAAAGTGAGATTGGGTCCTGTGTGACGTAATACGCACGTGTCAGGACCCTCTTCATGCGTATCCACAGCTCCTCCTAGAGCCTGTGGATGATGTGTGTTTAGCTACCCTGCTCAGCCCGAGCTCCTGCCACACCCTCCTCCTTCTAACAGCCTGCCTCCCATCCTGGCCTGGGGGATGTCCACCTTGCGACTGTAACCCTCTAAAAGAAATAAAGTTCCTGTTTTTTCATATTTATACACTATGGGGTTTTTAAGTTAACACATAAAAGAGATCTGGTCTTTAACTCAGTTTTTCAAGTGCCTTCCTGGGCAGACTGGCTAAACCTACATTTTAAAAAGAAGACTGCAGCCCCATTTTCCTGCTCTTCTCCTCAACAGAGAAGTAGGTGTTCACTGCCTCCAGCTCCTCTCCTGCCAAGCTCCCCAGAGCCCTCTACAAACCTGTGATCCTACTCCATTCCGTAACCACTGCTCTGTCCAGGTCAGTAATGGCCTCCCAGTGGCTACAACCAAATGGTTGGTCCTCCATACTCACCACACAGCACCACAGAGAACCACTCCCTTCCGTCTTCAGTAGGTCCTGGAGGTGGAGTCTCCATCATCCTCAGCCTCCTCACCCCTGCAGGGCTCTGTCCTTGGTCCTGTCCCCAACTGTCCTCTCTCCTGGGGTGACCTCAGCCAGTTTCCTGGCTTGAAATGACCTGTAGGTGCCCTCAACTTGATGCTCCAACCCGGGATTCCCTGTGCTCCAGGCCGGTCTGTCTGTGCGACAGCGCCATGTGGTGACAGCGAACCTCTGGTCGGCTGCACCCACCACCACCCAGCTGTGCCTCTCCTGCCCTTCTGCTGCAGAAACTCCACCCTTCCCGATGCTCAGACCACATAAGTCCCAGCTCTCTCGCACACTGCATCCTTTCCATCAGCAAATCCCAGGGGCTCTGCGGTTGAAGCACTTGTCTCTGAAATCCGACTGGTTCTCACCACCCAACCCCATGTTCATCATTCTATCCTCAACCCTGTGCCTGGAAGGCCATGTTGGCCACCTGATTGGTCTCCCTGCTTCCCCTCTCTGGATTCCCACAGGCGATTCTCAGCAGAACATCCACAGCGGCTCTGGTAAAGCTCAAGCCCACACGAGTCTCCTCTGTTCATGGGCCTCTCTCTCTCTGAGTCCAAGGCTCTTAAGCGGCCTGCCCACTGTCCATCCTCCTCCACTTACTACCCTGCCTTGACTCCCACCCCTGGCCTCCGCGCCACTCACTCTGCACCCATACCAGGCATGGCCCCGCTTCCTGTCTTGGCTCCCGTTGGTCTCCCCTCCTGGCCAAGCTTTCCTAGATGTCTGCATGGCTTGCCCTTTATCGCCTTGAGTCCTCTCCAGTCACCCCGCACAAGACTCCAACTCTCCCATACACATTTCCTTCTTCCCAGCTTCCTCTCTCCAGCTCCACCTGACTTATCACATACTTACTTCCTTATTGTCTGTCTCCCCCACTGAAAGGTAAGCTCCACCAGGGCTGAGATTTCTCTGTTCTGTGCATCCCTCACACCCAGGGCTGTGAAGGGGGCCACACGTGGTGGGAGCTGTTAATAAATAAAATTTGTGGAGTGGATGAATGTTCCTGATTTTCAGTGACTGTCTTTTAGTGGCTTAATATGATCAGTGCCCACTGTAGCTTTCCTGAAAAAAGTTCTGATTCAGGACATCAATCCCATATGGACAGTCTCCTGACGATAGCTCGACTTCAGATGTTTCAACTTTACGATGGGTAGATTGGATATTTGATGCATTTTTGACGTAGGAAGGGCTTATTGGCGGGGAGGGTGGCCCACTGTAAGTTGAGGAGCACCCGAATCGCTCAGTATGCCAGAGAAAAACACCCACAAATGAAGAAATGATCAGCTGTGTTTCCCTAAGACTGCACCGGAAGCTCCAAGAACCTGTAAGGTAGCCATCTGGTGGGCAACGGTGCGCTCCCACAGGGAGGTGGACAGGGTTGAGAAACTAAGGTGGGAGGTTGGCTCGTGCCCAGCAGTTCGAGACCAGCCTGGGAAACATAGGGAGATCTCCGTCTCTACAAAAAAAAAATTAAAAAGTAGAGTACTCGCAACTACTTCGGAGGCTGACGCGGTAGGATGGCTTGAACCCAGGACTTCGAGACCAGCCTGGGCAACATAGAGAGAACCCCGTCTCTACAAAAAATTTAAAAATTAGCTCGCAGCTACTTCCGAGGCTGAAGCAGTAGGATGGATTGAGTCCAGGTCAAGGGTGTAGGGAGCCGCGATCGCGCCCCTGCACTCCAGCCGGAGTAACAGAGCGAGGCTTCTGGCAGCAGGCGGTGGGCGGGAGGACGCGCTCAGGTGCCGCACGCTCAGGTGAGACCGGCCTACATGCTCCGCCCACCGCTGCCAAGCGCGCCCTCCATTGGCTGTTCCGCGGAGAACCCACGCTCCCATTGGCCGACGCGGACTGGGAGGCGTGTCCGGCCAGCTGCGCTCTGCGGACCAGTGTGGCTGCAGCCGAGGCCTTGCCGGAGTTCCGGAGAGTAGGGGCAGCGCTAGTCCTCAGGGGAGCGCCGGGCGCACACCGGACCACTGAGGGTGGCCGAGGAGCTCGCCTGTGCCCGCCGGCCCCAGCTTCCCTCCGCAGCCGCCCAGGCGTCCCCTTCCCAGACCAGAGCGGCGCTCGGCTCAGGGCGAGGGTCGGCTCGCGCAGGCGCAGTGGGCGCCCCCGGCAGCCCCCGCGGCCCGCCCCGCCCGCGGCCTGTCCGAGGAGGCGGAGGGAGATGACGTCATCGAGCAGGGCGACGGGCATTGGGCGCCATTTTGAAAAAGAAAAAAAATCCCTCCCCGGCGGCGGCGGCGGCGGCGGAGCCGGCCGGGGCTGAGCGCTCGGCTGCAGCGGCGCGGAGGCCGTCTCTCCGGTCCGCCGCGGTCCCCGCCTGTCCCGCCGCCGGCTGTCATGGCAGGTGAGGGGCCTGCGCGGGCCGGCGGGGGCCGCGGGGGCGGGCGGGGGCCGCGGCCGGTCTGACCGCCCCGTTGTGTTTGCAGGAGCCGGAGGCGGCGGCTGCCCCGCGGGCGGCAACGACTTCCAGTGGTGCTTCTCGCAGGTCAAGGGGGCCATCGACGAGGACGTGGCCGAAGGTGAGGCCCGCGCCCCGCCGCGCCCCGGGACCCTCGCGGGCAGCGCCCAGCCCGGCCGCGGCCTCCGGGCCCCACGCGCCGGTGGAAGGCGGGCAGGAGGACGGGGCCCGGCCGGGCGGGGGACGGGGTCGGGGGCTTGCGGTTCTCTGTGCGCGGTCCCGTCCCGCGGGGCGTGGGCGGAGGCGCCTGGCCCGCGGCGGGGCTTATGTAAGTCACCAAGGTCACGGGCGGCCGGGCCCTCCGAACCCAGCGCGCGCCCGGGCTGCCTCCTGCCCGGGGCGGAACCGAGGAGACCGCGGCGGAGCCGGGGACGGGAACCGAGTCCAGACCCTGCGCTCGGGCGGCGCGGCACCGTCGCGCGGAGGATGGGGATTCGCCTGGGGCTCCCCCGATCCGGCTCTGCGTTTCCTCGCCGGTGCGCTCTCGAGCAAGCTGGTTGCCTCGGTTGTCCACCCTTAACAAGAGCACCGGCTCCCTGATTCTTAAGGTCCGCTTTCTGAGGTTCTGAAATCCTGGAATTTTACTATGAAGTGTTGTCGTTGCTTCTCCGCTGATGCAGTTTAAAGTCTCTACGCCAGATTTTAATCTTGAACCTTCCGGTATTAACTTGGTCTTTGCCTGAAATCATACCCTTAAATTGGCCCAGGCACAAAGTTTTAGGGTGCTGGGAGGGAACTGAGGAGTGCCTCCTGCCCCAGCTTTCCATGAAGCTTACATGTCACCTTAAGTTTAGGAGTTGTGTAGCCTTCCTTTCACACAGCTGAATGGAGAACTTGGTCGAGTCTTAGAAGTTTGATTATTATATCAGATTTAGAGCCATAGTGGCCTTTTTGTTGTTGTTCATACATCTTACTGAACATTGTAAACCTTTAACCTCTTCTTAAAAATGATTTATGTGTGCACCAAATACACCTTCCGTGCCTTAAGCTGCTAAAAGCCCCTGGTCAAACGTCCACCTCGCTCCATCTCGCTCCCCCATGACCTTTTACTCCCTCTTCCCCACCCTGTATCTCTCCTTGGCAGTGTCTGGTTTGGCGCATGACCACTGAGGGCATTTGGAGATTCCTAGCCCCCTGGGACAAGCAGGGCCTGGGTGATGAAGCAAGTGAAACTCGGCTCTGAGAAATGCGGAAAAATGTGTATGGTTTGAGATTGAAACTAGGCGCATTTTATATGATTTGAAAAGTTTATTGATTTTTTTTATTTTTTTAAAACATATTACTTTTTTGTTTGATTTTGCATATGCCAAGTAAGTGACAGTTCAGCCTTACTCAAGTGTAACTTCTGTCCCAGTAAAGCAAAACTTGTGTGGGAGTAGGGAGGTGAGAGGGCTTAGTGCCTGCCTTAATTTCTTTTTTTTTTTTTTTTTTTAAACTTTTTCTTTTCTTTTCCGGAGACAGGGTCTCACTGTAGCCCAAGCTGGAGTGCAGTGGCACCATCTCGGCTCACTGCAGCCTCTGCCTCCTAGGCTCAAGTAGTCCACCCACCGTAGCTAGGACTACAGACGCGTGCGCCACCACACCAGGCTAATTTTTGTTACTGTAGGGGGGTTCGCCATGTTGCCCAGGCTGGTCTCGAACTCTTGGTCTTAAGTGGTCTGCCCACATCAGTCTCCCCAGGTGCTGAGATTACAGGTGTGAGCTAACATTCCTGGTCTGGTTTCTTTACTTAAAAAAAAAAAAAAAAAATTATTGATAAGCTGAATGACTTAAAACTTAAGCGTAACTAAAGTTTATTTTAAATGTGACTTTACACATATGAAAATAGCATCTTTCTTTTAAAAAAATCTTGGGCTCGGCCTGGTGGCTCACACCTGTAATTCTAGCACTTTGGGAGGCCGAGGTGGACAGATCACTTGAGATCAGGAGTTTGAGACTAGCCTGGCGCACATGGCGAAACCCCATGTCTACTAAAAATACAAAAATTAGCTGGGCATGGTGGTGCACACCTGTAATCCCAGCTACTTGGGAGGCTGAGGCAGGAGAATCACTTGAACCTGGGCTGTGGAGGTTGCAGTGAGTAGAGATCCTACCACTGTGCTCCAGCCTGGGCAACAGAGCAAGGCTCTAAAATATATATACATGTGTGTATGTATGTATACATATATACACGTATACACACATGCACACACACAAATGCTTTGTTCTCTGAATTAAACTGATGGGAACTTTTTGCAGTTTTAAATCCTATTTTAAGTTAAATTTTGAGTAAGTCAAAAAATTTGATATTTTGAGTTGTCATGGTTTTTTTGTAACATTGCTTTGTGGTAATTATCCACATGTTTTGGTTATTTTATGTATTCAGAGCTTTTTATTTTCATCCATGTTTGCTTTGGCTGTGATAACCCACCAAGATGAACACATTTGTAGCTTACCATCACTCTGTCCTGTCGTTCTGATACTGTTGGTTTGTATGCTGACCACAGAGTCGACCATGGTAACGGACGTGCAGTTCTTAGTCACCAGGGATTGTTGAGCAGCCAGGTTCAAGAAGCTGGTCATGCCCAAACGCAACCTTGATGGAGAGATGTTGGTGAGAGATAATAAGAGATGGGTGGCTGGGTGCGGTGGATCACTTGAGGTCAGGAGTTCAAGATTAGCCTGGCCAACATGGCGAAACCCTGTCTCTACTAAAAATACAAAAATTAGCTGGGCGTGACGGCGCGCGCCTGTAATTCCAGCTACTAAGGCTGAGGCAGGAGAATGGCTTAAACCTGGGAGGCAGAGGTTGCAGTGAGCTGAGATCGTGCCATTGCCCTCCAGCCTGGAGACAAGAGTGAGACTCCCTCTCAAAAAAAAAAAAAAAAAAAAAATAGACGGGCAATTCAGAGGGGTTTTTATTGTACACTGCTGCGCAGGCTGTAGAACTTAGGGTATAGCTGATCTTGTTTGTTTAGATTTGTGGCTTGTGAGGCATTTTGTTCTTAAAGATTCTGTTCTGGGCTACGTTCAGCTCTGTAGAGTTCTGCGGCACCCCTGCACTCTGGCTGTCTTTCTGCTCTCTCTGCAATGGGTAAGAAAGAGGAGCCTTAGAGATTGAGGCCAAGGTCCTTTTCTGACATCACTGGGGCAGCACCCAGTGTACAGGAGGTAGTGCCGGGGATTAAGAGTAGGCGCTCCTGACTTTGAAGGTCATGAAGTGAGTAATGTAGAGAAAGCGTTTGGTTTTTGTTTTGATTTCTGTTTTGTTTTTAAAACTAATAGTTTGGGGGCAGGGGGACCAGAATCATTACCTTTGATGAAAGTGTTGGCCTGTGTAAAACTTGATGCTCCCCCACACCCCCCCCCTTTCTTTTTTAAGAATTGAGTTTAGCTATGGGTCAGGTCATTTTGCTAAGAGCCATCCCACTGGATCATCAGACTTCCCATCCTCCTGCAAGTAGGAGTAGAGCTGAGCTCACAAGGAAGTTATGAAATGTCCTGTTGGAGCAGTTGTGGGAGCAGCCGTCAGTGGCAACTTGCCTCTCCTGCCCTTGCCGGAAGGTGGGACTATGTGAGTTCGTCTGCCGAGGTGACCAATAGTAAAACCAGGGGGCTTCCAATAGGAAGCGCTGAGAAGAGTTGTTTGTTAGCACCTCCAAAATGTTTAGGTGCTAAATGGTGACTGCCTTCTGGAGGTTGTTAACGCTGTGCAGATGTTTTCTGCGTGTTATGTAGCCACCTTCACCCAGCCCGTCCTCCCTCTCCTGGAGCGTACTTCATTCATCATGCGATGTTTTCTCAGTGTCACCTGGTATTTCATCCTTTGCTTCTCACTCTGCTAGACTGTGAGCTCCTCAAGCTTGAGGGCCGGTGTCACCCTTCACGCCCCAGCCCTTGTAGAGGATCCCGCAAGAAGGTCATGATAGGCAACAGTTGCTGAGTTGTCGTTCCGTGCTAGAGATTGCTCACAAGACTTTGCCCCTGTCAGTTAATTTAATCTTCACGCAACCTAAGAAGGGAGTAAATGCTGTTCTTCCCAGTCTCAGATGCAGAATCCAGGGTGGGGAAGCAATGAACCTGGGTCATAAAGCAACCCTATGGCAGGGCCACGGTTTGAAGCCATGCCGACCGGCCACAGAGCCCTGACTGGGGTGCAGCATTGCTTCAGCCACCGTTTGCGGCCAGTGAAGTACTGATGAAGCGCCACTGTGGAATGTGGCCACCCAGCCCTGGGGTGGAGCTATTCTTCTAAAGCTCCGTAAGCATCTTGCCACCAGGAATCGTATGAAAATGCCTTTGAAGGCAAATGAAAATGAAATGCCTTTAAAGGAAGTGCATATCAAAATGATGTAAGATTAGTAACAAGGATTCAAGAATAGCATCACTTTCCAACCATTTCTCAAAATATTTGAAGAGTAGCTATCCCAGAGACAGTAAGTAAGTGAAACACCTGCATGTCAAACAAGTGCTGCAGCACCTTTGCCTGCGGAGCCCCTTGCTCACGACTGCAGTCTGCTTGCCTGCAAGGAAGCTGTGGGTCTTGCTTGCTCCCATGGAGAAACAGTGGGGAGGGACCGGGGGTGGAGGGTCTTATGCTGAACACGGTTATAGCTTGATTACAGCAGGTTCCTTTCATCCCAGAATTTGTAGTTTTAAGTGGATTGGGTTTTTATTTGATTTTGCTTTAATAGGTTTCTTTTTCTTTCTTTTTTTTTTTTTTTTTTTTTTTGAGATTGAGTCTTGCTCTGTTGCCCAGGCTGGAGTGCAGTGGCACGATCTCAGCTCACTGCAGCCTCCACCTCCCTGGTTCAAGGGGTTCTCCTGCCTCAGCCTCCTGAGTAGCTGGGATTACAGACGCATGTCACCACGCCCGGCTAATTTTTGTATTTTTAGTAGCGACGGGGTTTTACCATGTTGGTCAAGCTGGTGTCCTCCTGACCTCGTGAGCCACCACGCCTGGCTGCTTTAATCAGTTTATTAATCCATGATCTATTGCTGTGAATTCAGATATTAACCTGTTTCTAAAGAGATAAACTAAGCAAAACTAAAGGTTTGTCTGCTTAAGTCAAGCTTGAATCT